GGAAATGACCATACTAAAGACAAGACAGTTCTAGTAAAATGAAAACAGTAATTAAGGGATGAAAAGTAAACTTTTAATACAGTAGATGGATAAACTCTTTACTCAACTGTTGTTGGCTTTAATCTATATAGCTTAGTTAGATAATACCCTTTTTCTTTGTAAAATTAACTAAACACACATGAAATACATAAAGAAAACACCTTGCATACTCATATGAAAAATTTAAACAAAACAAATATCACCGAAAACATCAGATAAAAGATATGCAGGAGAATAACATGACTAACCACCAAAAGCAACACTTATAGGGTCATTGTGGCCTCCCCCAAATGTTTCGAGTGAGCTTGCAAATGCAATATCTCCATCATAAGCTTCTCCTAATCCTTCCCTGAAAAAAGGGATATGTAAATTAATGTGTCCTGGATAGCAGCAAGTTGGCAGAAAACTACGAGTAAATATGGGTTTAAATATAAGCGTGTAATGCAATGAATGGCAGTTCAACCTCTCTTTTTTTTTTTGACTGAAGCAGTTCAACCATATCATGTGTCAGGTATTGTGAAGAAATACAAATCAATTAGATGTAGATGATCACTTACGTATACTTGCGGCAACCTTTATGAAACTTCAAACATCTCTCCCTGAGAATTTCAGCACTTTCTTCCAGTGACTGTATCTGCTTTTCAGAATGCCAAAAAAATGCATACATTGTTCATGAATGAAGCAAATCCAACATGGAAAAAAAATGTCACATAAAAGAAGTTTGTGCTACAAATATGTGTTGAAATGGATTATACCCAAACAATTGCATCTCTTTAATGAGGAAATCTCCCATTCTATAATCAATAAAAAATTCAAGAGCTTTATGGATACTTCTTAATCCGTTTACATGATGAGAAACAGTTCATTGTCCCAATTGCTTGGAAACAAGCATTCAGTTATAGGAGCAGTATGTGGCTAGCTAGCAAAAATTTTCAGGCTGGCATAGACGGCACAGGGGGAAACAAACACAGCGACGCAAGTTCAAAAGGTAGTGAGTAACACACGATAATGCAGATAGGCATAATAATAAAACCAGTGAGATACGACAATCCAGACCTATCACCATTCACCAATGAGGAGCATTCGCCTTCGGTTACAAAAAGAAAGTAGCTGATCAAACACATTTGGATCATCAAAAAAAATAAAAAGAAAAAAGAAGCGCCAAATCAACCATGAATTCCAAACACTGCGCTAAAATCAGGCGCAAAAATCCTTTCCGATAAAAAAAAACAAAAATCAAGAGCAAAGCCATTCCCCCACCCATTCGCAACAATGTAATCAGCACAAAAGTTTTTTGGCTCTCTTCCGAAGAAGAGCATATGCAGCGAGACCGAATCGAGAAGCCATTGCAAAGCATTGAAGCGAAACTGCCCCACGCTTGAGAGAGGCAACCCGGTAACCCGTCCCCACGGGATAGGCGCACTCCCACCTCGCGCCACCACATTCCAACCCAGAGCCCCACCCAATGAACCCCCCGTTGAACAACCGAGATCCCGGAGGCGGAGGAGGCTCACCTGCGTGCGGAGCATGGGCGAGTCATCGAGCTTGGCGAAAAGCATGGCTGCCGCTGCTGACCACCACCACCTCCTCCTCCTCCTCCACCTTCAATGCCGCAACCGCCTCCAACCCTATCTCCACCACCACCCCCACCTCCACCTCCCCCTCCTCTTCCTCCTCGTCGCTGCCTGACCTCCTCCTCCTCCGCGGCCGCCGCCACCTCCTCCTCCTCCAGCAACCGCGGGTGGGGGTGGGTTGGTTGGTTGGTTGGTTGGTGGAGCGTCCGCGCGAGCGCGCAAGAGAGAGAGAGAGAGAGAGAGAGAGCGAGAGATGGCGGTGGCGTCGTCGCCGGAATTGGGCGATTCGCGCGTGGGGGAGAAGGGGGGGGAATAGGTCGGATGGCTCGGCGAGAAGAGAGGAGAGGAGTGGGAGCGACGAGCGGAATGGAAAATAACGTTGCGCTTTTCTCTCGCTACTCTTTGTTTTTTTTTTCTTTTTTCTTCTCTTGGAGGAGAGAGAGAAACATGTACATTTTGATTTTAAAAAATAAATAAAAATTATTGTGGTCTTTTTTTAAAAAAAAAAACTACGGCTAATTATTATAGATAATGTAGTACGAACTACGGAATTACAAGTTTAACTAAAATATAAAAAATAAGAAAATTACATGATGTGCTTTTCTTTTAAGAAAAAACATATATTTTCATCTAGGGTTAGCCAGAGTATGCATAGCCATTGTTTTCACCAATAACATATTACTTCATCCGTTTCACAATGTAAGTTATTCTAGTATTTCTCACACTCATATTGATGTTAATGAATCTAGACATATATACTAGAATGACTTACATTGTGAAACGGAGGGAGTACGAGTTAGTTGTAGTCTTTTTTCTTAAACTAAAAAAGCAGACAAAATTTTGATTAAATTTATTTTTTATTACACGGAATATGTATGGGTACATATACCATTATACACGCTATCATACTCACACGTCCATAAAAATGTGTCATATAACACACTTACCATCACTAACATCTTATTATAAAACACATCCGTAAATTGTTAATATTTGTGAGCACCTACATTTATAAAACTCGTTTTATGAAGTCATACACTCACAGCTCCACCACTGAGTTACAGCATAATGGTACTTCTCTAATTAACCTAGTCAAGTTAATCTAAAACCATCGAAAATTTAAGTCAACTATGGAAAATATTACTCCTACATGCATTTTTATTATTTCCTAATGATAGGAACAGGCACTGGATAGATGATGAGATAGAGCATTATTAGATCGTGAAATTACAGGGCCACTGCCTCACTGGGCAAGTAAGTGCGTGCTGAGATCTCCACTTACAAAAAGGAAACCGAAACAAACAAACAAGAGTGGCATGGCATGCAGAGAAAAGCTGATGCAAAATACTACTGGATGATGCTGATAGATTCCAGTCTCTGTCTCTCATCACTGTTAGTCACTAAGAGATGGAGAGAGATTAGCAGTGGGCAGCCACTAATGCGACAGTGATTATGACGCCGGCAACCTATCTACCATATCCACACACATATATATATTCTCCTATTATGAAACAAACAAAGCTACTCTACTCTACTGCTTCATAAATTTCTGCCAAAAAATTTCAATACAAAGGCAATTCAGAGACTTTTTCTTCTTGCCCTTCAGAGTTCATTCAGAATGCGCGCGCGTGGGCCCGGAATGCGGCCCTTGAGTTTCGGCTTTTTGACGGGTGGGCCCCACCATCCGGCCCATTCAAAAGATTCTACGGCCCGCGGTGCGAATGATGGGTTCGTTTCGTTCCCGCCAAGAGAAGAAGAAAAAAAAATCTGTCATTCAGTCAGTCAGATGCTGCTCATGATGCTTCTACTACGACCATCACACTATTATTATAGCACTAATGCAGGCACTAATCATGCATGCATCTGGGTGCTACTGTTCTTCCTTCCTGTACACATGATATCAGCTGATCAGCAGACAAATCCAAAACCAATAGTAGATCGATCGCCTGATCCAAGAACTAACGTATCCATGATTGGCCACTTGTGTTGTAGTACTCCTACTACTTGTAATTAAGCAGTTGGATGACACAGGAGGTTGGCTGGTAGCCAAGGCAGAGCAAACAGCAGCAACATCAACTAGGGGCCTGTTTGGGGAGCTTATAGCTGCTGCAGCTTCTCCTAGAATTTCAGCTCCCCCAAACAGTCCTGATTATCACTCAGATTCTGAGAATATATAGTTGTAGAATCCAAAAAATGAACTATAATCCAGAAGCTAGAAAACCCAGCTTCTCCAGATTCTCAAAAGCTGACTACCAACCAGCAGATTCTCAAAATTTTAAGCTTTCCAAACAGGGCCTAGAGCTCATCCAGTACGTTATACTAGTAGTACTAGCAGATGTGTTTTTCTTTGTGTTTGGTTTTGTCAGGATAGATGATGCTGCAGGCATATTGTCCCTTTCCTTGCATTAAGAAACGCACATGTGTTGGCGGATTAAGGAGGATCGGGACATACGCGACTGGGCGTCACGCTCATGCGCGCGGATAGTGGGGATGGATGGATACTTTGAGGTCCCCCTGAAGACAAAATTGACATAAATCCAGCCATGTGTTGGGCGTCATGATTGGAAGCACACGTCCAAAACACACCGTCTTTTTTTTTTCAACATAGTTTTGCTGAAAATATTGCATTTGTCTCATGGCTTCCCTTACTGTAGAAATTGATTGGAGAGCTAGAGAGCTGTGTTACTGTTTCCTTTGAGGGAGTACGTAGCTCCAGCTTCCAGGGGGGAGTCAACCCTTGTCAACCTTTTTTCCTCTCCAACTGCAGACCATGGACCTGCCCCAGGGTGACCATAAAATGCAGCCCTGTTTACCATCTCTTTACCTTAAAGAGGTTTTGTCCTGGGTTTTACTTTGTGTCGCTTCATGTCGCCATGTCGGTGCTCGCCGCGTGCCAGTGTGCATCCAGGAGACCCATGCCTCCCTGTACACGCACGCATGATGAAGATGGATTTTCAAGAGACTGAAGAGACTGGGAGCTCAATGTCGAATTGTCGACGACCTTTCAGATGCATATTTCGTGCAAATCAGAAATCTCTCGCAAATCCCAATATATTCGTACAGATACGAACAGATTTCATTGACATTTGGGTGTGTTTAGTTCACGCTAAAATTGAAAGTTTGGTTAAAATTGAAACAATGTGACGGAAAAGTTAGAAGTTTATATGTGTATGAAAGTTTTGATGTGATGAAAAAGTTGAAAGTTTAAAGAAAAAGTTTGGAACTAAACAAGGCCAAAGCCAGAAAGTTCGGGTAATTTGCCGAGCAAGATGGGACATGCCTGCCAGTGCCAGGTTATTCACAATTTCACATCACTGTAGTAGTACAGGTTAACAGGCACCTGGTTCAATGATAGTACGGCACAACTCAACACAGCAACCTGTAGAATTGCTCAACAAGCTCAACAAGGAAAATGGAATTAGTTGCCATGACAAAGCATGCACTATCAATTTATGATGCAGGTGAGTAAGAGAGGATTAGTAACAGTATCAACAGAATCTTCTCAACAGTCAACACCACAATGTCAAGATCGTTTGTACCAGAGTAGACTTGACGCAGGGAAAAACTACCGATCTGAGATATTTGGGTAGTGGCAAGCAAAGCATGCCTTGATCACCAGTTCACCACCCAAGACCAAGAGCACAAGTCCTTTTCTTTGTAAGGCCGGCCTTTGGTGGCATGCACGAGCACCATAACTACAGAGTTCTAGACAGCGATTTCTCAAACTGGCCATGAGGAAAAAACCAACAATGCTTCACCGGGCAAGAATCACTTCGGGTAGAGAATGTCGTAGTGACCAGGACGGTAGAGCAAAGTAATGTAAGGTTTCTCAGCAGCAGCAGCACCGTCCGATGAATTGGCCTCAGGGCTGAAATCATGGTGGTTCACACTTATATTTCCAGCATCACATGAGCTTCTGTCTAGGTACATCACACGGATTGGCACACCCAACGCATCTGATAGGGCAATTATGTGGACATGGTCACTTTCCTCGCCCATCGGCTCCACGGAAGCCTTGCAGAACTGCAAATTGAATTGAACTCAGGATCAGTAACTCCAGCAATTGCTTGTCACACAAACACGGATTGGAATAACACACTGCAACTTGAACAAGTTTTTCAAACCAGAGAATGCATTGTTTGCTACTCATGAAAAAAAGGTGCATAAGTAGATTTTATCCTGCTACAGTTTAATGAATAAAACATTATCATTGGATAAATACTTACGGACCTGCTAATCTATCAAGCTACTATCATGGTATTTTGCCATAACCTTTCCACTAGTATATCATACTCCAGTGTGATGCATACTAAATAATTAGTCATTGTGCACTCTTTTGTTCCACAATATATGCCCTATCCCACCTTGTGCAGAAGGCACAAAATTGAAGAAAAAGTTAATGGTTTTTTACCACCAAATTCCCTACTAAATGGCAGGGTACGATAACTCATTTTTTTGTGAATGACAGTTCCCAAGAAAATGAACTTCCATTATAAAACAGAGCAAAAAATACTAACAAGAGAGATAAAACATAGAATAATCTCACATCTAAATACTTAATGAAAATGCAGAGTGCAGGTCTATTTGTCTGTACTCTCTGCTCTGTGCATTACAAATATAATGAAGAGATTTCTTGTGGTCCTTGGAGAGGCACCACACATTTTATGCTTATGTGTGGTAACTCCCGGTACCTGGAGGTATTGTACCTCATAATACCTCCCCAACGACTGTACAAACCCTCATAAAATGGAAGTATGGAGCTAACCTGAACCACAGTCGAATTTGTCAAGCCAGAGATGAATGGTTCGAAGAACTCGGCCCTCCTTTGGATTTCACCAGAGGTGACAAACCTAAAGAACATGACAACTAAAGAAGACATAGTTAAATAATGAGAGCAAAGCAGAGAAAGGCATACTACACATATCTGGATGTACAAACCATAATCAGAAACCATCTGATCCCTGGTTCTTTCTAGAAGCTCTTCGGCCCTAAGGATACAGGAAAACAAAATAGATTCACTACAGAAGGAAAACATTTATGATGGACATGCCATACTTTATAAACAATTACAAAAATTGCTTGTTGTTAATACATGATTATTGGTCATATGCATTAAGGATACAAATATAACTCTAGGATATTTACCCTATGGAGGATTCATGTCCCTGCAGAACACTTTCCAGCTGATCAATGAATATCTGAAAATAATGAGGGTGGGAACATAAGGAAGGAGGTTGCAATAATTTGAGTGCACTGCAAGGAGATTACATTTTTTTGTAAAAAAGTAAAACACCAGTTGTAGATCAAGCACCAATAAAGGAGTCCTTTGTGAAAAATGCATCTCAACTACCCAAATTTCAACGTTGTACTAGCATCGATCAAATAACTCCCAAAGCCAGTAGAAAATAATGTGAAATCCATCTATTTGGGTTCTGGGTGGCTACAAACAGTCCAAATTTTGTTTTGCTAGCTTACTTATAAGTGATACATTATGAACTTCAGAAGGGTGACTGGTGAGTGATCCTAACTAAGAAACAAGTGAACATATATATAATGGACCAATCTTCAAGGCTAATCATTTTCAAAGTTATTAACAATGCACAAGGATTAGACACTAGTATTTAATTTGTTGCATGACAGGAAAATGCACAAGCTCTCATTATAACTAGCTCATACAAAAATTATTCCAGGAACATCTAAAAAGGAAATGCAAACAAGCATACATGAAAATAATCGGACAGATCTTCATACTATTCAGAGGGAATACATCTGGCATAAGTTGCAAAACAGCAATTGAACAGGATAAGTAAGGAGGGCCACACAAAGTAACAATAAAGACTTACAGAGAAGAAATCTTCAAAGGTGAACTCAATGTATCCAAGATCTGCAAGAGTCTTCTTGCACTGCTCAATTTTTTTTAGAATGCGCTCAACCTCAGCTTTGTCTTGTGTCTCTAGGATATGTTCCTAGAAGCAAATGATAAGATCATCAGCTTATAAAATAGTCAAAGTTTGTATGGAAACAGACCAAAAATAATACCAAGTAGGAAAACATAAAGCTTCGATAAAAGCAGTTTCCATCTCCTCGTGTCCTTCTTAAAGCATCATACTGTTCACCAAGCAACTGCAGACCAAGCAAGAAATTATAAGAACAAATTGAAGCACCATCCATTGATACGATAGATCAACCAAAATATGTCTATTACATATTATAACTGCCAAATCCATATGGACCTTTATTTTCTCCTGTAAAATGGGGCTGCCAGACTGAAACTCGGCGGCTAAAGTGGAGAGAGGTTCCTGCAAGGTTCAAAAGATATCAATAATGAACACAAATGAAAGCAGAAGAAAGTCATACGATAGCCTAAAATAACTGTACAAACACAGAGATAATCATAGCAATGCATTAGTGTCCTCCATTGTGAAAAGGTGCTTGCAATTAACAGAACAAAATGAATTTGAGGCATCAAATATCTAACTACTTGACCTAAATCCAAGTTTAGTGCCAACATCATTTTCCATTTCATATGAAATTGTGTGTATGTAGCTCTCCACCTTCTCATATGGCCTATATTTGCAGATTTGTTCTGTTCGTGTAAATCCTAGTGTGAACCTTAACTGAAACTTTTGGGACACATTTAACCTCAGTTTCTGTGCTGAATTGACTAGCATAGGCTATTATTCTGCATCAACAAGTTCGTCCTTCACATTTATTGTCCTAGGTGTGACGATTAAAGGATGACACCACTTTTATCCTAGAATCATAATACGCTATGGAGCAAACTTGTTTGGCCATCTCTATTATTCCATGCATAAATATTAAGTAAGGAGCACATCCAGCAAATGATAACAGATAAACCCTTCTTTTCCTAGAAGAGAACACGAAAGGTAATTGCTGTCTGTTCATCCAAATTCTAATTCCCCATGGTTCTGACTTCTGCATGAACCTCCAAACATCAGTTCACCAACGAAGCTAAAAAATCAAGTACAACAGTTACAGCTCCCAACAATAGCGCCTGACAATACTTAAGGACTGACCATCCAGAGGATGAAAATGGACACAACTGATATGAACTTGTTCAGCCAATCTCCATTATTCCAGGCACCACGACTAAAAATAAAGGAGAAAATCCAGCATCTGATAACTCCTCTTATCCTTTAAGATGACGCAATAAGGGGAAATTGTTACTTGTTATCCAAATTCTAGTCCCCACTGCTTGTATAGACGCCTTAAAATGTCAATTCACATAGAAATGGAGCACCAATACAACAGTAATGATGACCAACAATCAGCATCCAACTAGACTAACAGGACTGATCTATCGCCTCACCTGCTGGCACAACTAGCGGATACTGGCATGGCAACACTGGGCGTCTTACCACGATTCAGACCCATTTCTACCACATGAACAAATCTATCGACCGCAGATGAGTCAAAGCGCAGATGAGTCAAAGCGAGCGAGAGAGACAGAGAGAGAGAGGCGTCAACATCTCACCTTGTCCCCGACGTACGGCAGCTTGGGCCCCTCGGGCGCGCGGAGGTCGGGGTCGGGGTCGCCGCAGCACGAGTGGTAGTAGTCCCCGCCCATCGAGAGCTCGACCGACACGGAGTCCGAGCACCCTCCACCACCTCCTCCCCCACCGCCGCTAGGGTTAGGATTCAACCCCTCCCCCCCCCCTCCTCCTCCCCCCTCGACGACCGGCTCGGGGGCCGCGGCTGCCGCCGCCGCCTCCCCCATCACCGCCTCCTCCGGGACCGTCGCCGCGGCGTCGCCCTCCCCGCCGCCGTCCGCCGCCTTGCGCTTCCGGGCGCTCGCGTCGGCCGCCTCCCGCGCCAGCTTCGCGTGTGTGGGGGCTTCGATTCGGTGGAGCTTTCCGCTTCTCTCCCCTCTCCCCGCGGTGCGTGTTCTTCTCTTCCGAGATCTCGGCGAAGGCGAGAAATAAGTGCGCGTTTTTTTCCCCTCGCGGATAAGCCCTCTGATAAATTCGTTTTTACGTTTAGATCCTCAGAGTGGAGGCCGTAAGGGTCACTGACAGGTGGGTCCAGGAAGAGATGGGCCCACGTGTCATAAGGAGAAAGTGAACCGCGGGTGAGTTATTACGCGTTTCCGATTGGTTAGCCCCCCCACCCCTACCGGTTTCCTCACGCCACCGCTCGATCTGGATAAGCGTCGATGACATGGTGGGCCCACATAGCCACGGGCCCACATTCTGACGAGCTTATATACGCTCTCCACTCCGGCGTGGAGGCGGCGGCGGCCGATCAGATCCAGTGCTTCTCGCGGCGAGGCGATGTCGTCGTCGGCGTCGCCGGCGGCGTGGTGGGCGCGCAGCCGCGTCCGCATCCTCCTACCGGTCATCTTCCTCGCCCCCGCGCTCTACTTCCTCCTCTCTCCACCCTCCTCTCCGCCTTTCTTCTTCACTCTTCCCACCTCCAGGTACGCGGCCCAGCCTCACCTCTTGCAGCTGATGCTCGAGATTGTTCCAGAAGCTTACGGATCTCGCTTACTCGCTTTTGGTCTTTAGGGAGGAGTCGCCGTCGGCGTCGGGGTCGCGGGTCATATGGGCGCAGCGGCGGGTGGCGGAGTGGCGGTCGTGCGGGTGGTGGCGGGCGGCAATGCCGGGTGAGACCTCGCCGTGATTTGTGGTTTGGGTTTAAGGATCCGGGTAGTGGACATCTCTGCTTGAGACTGTGGTGGTGATTGCGGTTTTGAACCTCCTCTTCTTCTGCAGCTCCGTCGAGGAGGAATGGGTACATCCGGATCGACTGCTACGGCGGGCTCAACCAGCTGCGACGCGATGTACGTTAAGCGATCTCGGCTAGCGTTTCTCTCTTCCGTTGTTAGTGGGATCAAATGAGTGTTGGCTTTCTGGATTTCGCTGTTAGATCGTTCGGCCATGCACAAGTAGTAAGATAGTAGGGTCAATGAGGGGGATCATATGTTTTATCTTCTACTCCATGATTAAAATGTCGTGGAGGCAGGTTGCATGATATATAGTGGCATAACTAAATTTTCAGATTATTTATGAAAATTTTCACATTGCAAGGCGAATGTGATTTCAACTGGCTATGTTATTATGTTACTCCTGGTTGTAATTATTCTTCCGAATGTTTCTTCAGCTATGTGATGGAATTGCGGTTGCGCGCCTTCTCAACGCAACAATGGTTCTGCCCAAGTTTGAGGTTGCTGCCTACTGGAATGAATCTAGGTATGAGAATCACTCTACAAGATGAACGACTGTGCTACTTGTAGTTATGCAGTTTATTTCTGTTCAAAAGGTAGTTCATCACTTATTGGTATTCTCTGTCAGTGGATTTGCAGACGTTTTCGATGTTGATTACTTCATTGAGCAAACCAGAGGTTATGTGGAAGTTGTGAAGGACATGCCTGAAGAGATAGCATCAAAAGAGCCCTTTAAGGTTGATTGCAGCAAACGAAAAGGACATTTTGATTACGTGGAAACGGTGCTTCCAGCTCTCTTGGAGCATCAGTATATTTCACTGACACCTGCCATGAGCCAAAGAAGAGACAGGTATTATTTCAACATCTAGTTGTGAATTGTGATGTCCAGTTCTTTAATACCGATTATCCTAATCATGCCTCCAAGTGGTTTGTTTTGTTCCCAATTTATGTTGTTCAGTGTTAATAAAAGTTGTCTTGAATCATGTTTGTTGTTGATGCTCTTAATATACTGCAAGGGATGGGTAGGATAAGGCTGGCGAGGAATTACCATAGGAAATTCCAGTGTGATATGTTGCAGTAATTATAAGAGTTCAATACATAACGTAGTTTGACTTGATTTGTAATATTCATGATTGATTCTTAAGTATCATACGTGGGACTTGGTAGCACCAACCAGCATCGAAAATTATTTTGGCCTTGTTATGTACATTTAGATGTTGATGTCCGGTGTTTGATGTGACCATGTCAATCATGTCTTCAAACGGGTACTTTTTTGTCGCTTTCATTGCTTGGGATATTTCTCAGTTCTAATAATGCTAGGAGTGTGCCCATTTAGCAGATAGTACTTATGACAGCAGCAACAACTTCAACTCGCCTACTCTTATTTTCCTTTTGCCCTGGTAAATTTACGTTTAGTTTTCACTGTTCTACTCGTAAAGATTGCCATCTGCCCAATATATTTTTAGGGTGTGTTCGTTTCCACCGGTTGAGAAAGTCTTCCCACGCACGCAAAATGGAGCAAAGTCATTAGCGCATGATTAAATAAAATTAGCTAAAAAAACTTGAAAATTGGGTTAATATGATTTTTTTCCTAGCAACTTTCCTATAGAATTTCTTTTCAAAAAACACACCGTTTAGCAGTTCGGGAAGCGTGCCGTGGAAAACGAGGGAATAGAAGTTGGGAAAGGGTAGAAAAGAACTCACCCTTAGTATGTTCCACAGAATGCACTCTGAGTGAGACAATGGCATAAGACAGATAATAGTTTAATAGTTAGTGTTATTTATAGGGTTATAGCTTTTATACTGGTGCCAATGATTTTATTTTGAACTATTTGCTACCATAATTATTCTTTTTAGTCTGGCTTTGCTTCAAGCTGATGTATATGCCTCTTTTTCAGAAATCCTTCATACGCGAAAGCTTCTTACTGCCAAGGCTGCTACAATGCACTGCGGTTGAATAAGAATGTGGAAACAAAAGCTATTGAGCTTCTCCAAGCCATACCAAAACCTTTCTTGTCTCTTCACCTGAGATTTGAACCAGATATGGTTGCCTACAGTCGATGTGTATACACTGGTCTGTCTTCTAAATCACTCAGTGCAATTGAAGCTGCACGTGGGGAGGACAGGAAGGCATTGACTGGTGAGGCTGCCCTTCTGTGGAGGAACCGTGGCAAGTGCCCTCTAACACCAAGTGAAACAGCATTTATACTTAAAGCATTAGGTATCCCCACAGACACAAACATTTATTTAGCTGCTGGCGATGGGCTAATGGAACTTGAGGGCTTCACTTCCATTTACAAAAATATATACACTAAATCATCCCTCCTAACTCATGATGATTTTGAGAAGATGCATGGCAATACAAAAGCTGCTCTTGATTACTATGTTTCAGTCAGCAGTGATGCTTATGTTGCCACCTTCTTTGGAAATATGGATAAGATGGTAACTGCGATGAGAACAATGCAAGGGCACCAGAAGACTCTGGTCTTGAGTAGGAGGGCCTATGCAAACTACACAGCTGTTGGACTTTCAGGGGAGCAACTAGCTATGGCCATGTGGGATGCCCATCGAGAGGAATATATCATGGGGAGGGGATCAGCCCTTCCTGAGCAGTGCTTCTGTGAGTTCAAATTGTAACACGAAGGCCACTTTAGATTGCCATCAACGAAGGCCACTTTAGATTGCCATCATTTGATCAACAGCAATTAATATGTGACTTCAGAATCTTCAGATGTGCAAATATGGATGAGAATTTTACTGCGATAGAGAGCAATGCTGACGATAAAGAAGAAACTGTTCTTGGTGAGATGGGATTTCACAGTCAGCATGGTGGCTGGGCTCTGTGGAGGGAAGCTGGCTCTCGTACAGAAATGCATCTTGGCCCGCCTTCTGTTTCTCCTGCGTACTGTTTTGACTTTTCGGTGAGTTCAAATAGTAGCAAAGACACTTTCAATTTCCTCTGCCTGCATATTACGAGAATTGTGTCTACAAAACTAGTGACCTACATTTCAGTTCTGAAATGTCATTTTTAAATTGAATATACTCACAAGGTCGCAATTCTAAAATTCATGAGATTATATAGATGGAATTTATGATGCTCAGGAGGTAACGAGTTGTGAGTGATGTAGTAGTGACTAATGATTGAGCTCATCTGTCACTAGGCATTACATTACAGTTACAGATTCTGTTCTGTAGAGTTGGGTAGAAAACTGGATGCTTCTATGATGACTGATTATTTTAACTATAGGTTAGTAGAGCTACGTCTAGATATTACTTCTTGAATATGGAGTTGTTTGGTTCTTGATGCACTATTTATTTGGTTTCTAGAAGAGTCAGAATCCAGCAACTATTGATTAGAGTCAATGAGATTTGTGTTTAAAAAGTTACTCTGAGAACACCATGATGCGTAGTTGCGTAATCAACCAAGATTGTTGAGTGTACAATTATCCACGGGTTATGATTATGAAAACACTTAAACAAGATGTTCAACTTGCATGGGTCATATTCATTACTCCATAGCACTAATAATCTGTAGGACTAGTGATTGTCTCCTAGTTTTCATCTTGACCAGTACACTTAGATAAATTGGAAGAATAATTGGTTGGTATCTGAGCATGTGGGCTCTGGACTACCACTTGAATGTTGGGAAGATAACCAATGGCAGTTCACTCCTCCACTCACAGTGCAGCGGCAAGTGACATACGTAATACTGATTCATTTCCTATCATTTCTTTGAGGGAAAGCAGTGCTGAATCCATTTAGATGTAATTTTTCTTCTGTGAAAAGCACGTCATTAAATAGTTTGACCTTGTGTGAACATGCAGGACTTCAAGTCAATGGCTTAACCTGAGAAGGAAGCCTCGCAGAAACTTCCCACATCTTTGTCTTGTACTTTAGTCATATACAAACTCAGAGGATGCCCACGGCCTTGTATGAAAGCTTATCTTCGCTCCAATCAGAAGTTATTAACATGGAAATATTGGTTTGAAGAGATTTAAATGCAAATTGCCAATATTCTATTGAAGGAAATCAAGAGGTCAACTTTAGGTACGTGATCTTGCTATGGACCTTAATCTACTTGCAAAGCTAGTATAATTGTATGGTCTGAATTGACAAAGCGTCATACTGTATGTCTTCCACGCATCAATTCTCAGTTTCTGGCTTTCTGCACTATCATACTTACAAGTTAGCATAATTGTATTCATTTAAGCGATTGAGGTGCTCTTGCACTATCCATCTGAATATCTGAGACCATATTTGTGTAAACACGTGCTGAAAATTTGGAGAGTATATTCCTGATTCCGAGCATACTCTTTGGTGCAAAACGTGCATACTGAAACAAATAAAGAAGTGGAAATAAGGAAATTTAAAGGTATGGATGGATGGTGTAGATGGATATCTGGGAAAGGGTTTTGTTTGAATTTGAACTAGATTAGAACTATTTGGCTCTGTAATGTTTTCATGTATACTGGATAAGCACACCAGTTACATGCTTATCCATATGGACCATCACATACAAACATCGCATGTGGTTCCTCCACATACATGGCGCCTGCAGTCCACGGCAACCGACTGCTTATACATATTTACAGATTCAAATATAGTATACTCAATTCTATTAGATATACACATGCATACATATAGGACATAAATCTGTATACTTCTTTCTGTACGTAAATAAATTAATAGATATAATTCAAAGATAAAGATGGAAAACGAGAGAAGAGCTGAGTCTTATCAATTCATATACAGACAATCCAGCTGGTACTACAATGCAGCTAAGTACTACACTGTACACACTGCTGTTTACCATGAAGTGGTTGGCTATAAAGGAAACAACTTCTTGAAGTGTCCCCACTGACTGGCTAAGCTATTCCAGTAGCAGCTGAGTCCCATCCTTATCACTTCTCCCATCTCCTTAGACCTTAAGCTAAGGCAACACGAGTGAGGGCTGGACACATCATCACAAAAGCTTTATAATATATGGGCTTTGTCCTGTTTTCTCTGGATATATCAGTTACTCCTCTTACCAGTGCAGCTCTGCATCGTCAGCGATCAAGGGTACCAGGGTGGATCGCCTACGAGAAGCTAGTGACACAGGGCATCATCGTGGTCGGCACAAGAGGGCCCGCTCCTCTCCTCCACGCCATGACGACGAGCCGCCACCGCCGCCGCCGCTGTCTCCGGCGGTGACAGGAGGAGCACACGGCGGCGCCGCGTGGCACTCAACGGTGCTCGCGGAGGACGTCGAAAGTGCCGTCATCGTCGCGGCGCTGACGCACGTCATCAGCTCCACGGCGGCGGAGGTGACCACGGCCGTTCCTCCGGTGACGGTTGCGCCGCAGCGAGCTGCCACGGCTACCATGTTCGGACAGCAAGGTACGCTGATCGATATTGGATACTTGGTTTTGTGATCGATTACACATGGCTTCTACTTCCTCTGTCTTTGTATATTGTAATTCTCCAGATAATTCGATCTTCTTCGTCATGAATCACCTAGTTTGGAGGCATTACCAAATGGAAAAGGCTACACGTACAAAAAGAAATTGTTATAATTTTTTTACTAATGCTGACGAATAACATAGGCTCAAATTAGTGAGCAGATACTATATATGATTGTCTATATAGCCCAGAAAATTTCAGGGAAATCATATGAACTTTGGGACAAAATACTGTTATCAACTTTGGGACAAAAGGGTGCGCTTGTGACAATGTACAGTGGTTGCGGATAGAACTTACTTTAGTAGTTTCTAGCTAGAAAGAATAAATAATGCGTTGTTATTTGCAAGTGAAGCACACACGTAGCTCGCTTTAGCCTTCAACGTGGCAATGGCAGTGAATTATTGGATTGTTGCTTATAAGATGTAAACCCAGGTACGGTTTGGTGTTGATTGATGTAGTATGTATGTGAGACAGAGCTGTCGACTTTGTATGTGGACTCTTCCTTGTAGATTTTGTACTATGATGCTTGCATGACAGCAATAGTGTTAATTTGACGTTAAATTAATGTCTCTATTCTTCATTTTGATACGTGTCTCAGTGTTCTTTCCATCTCTACCTCAATTTTGCCGTGTGTGCAGTGTGCTGTGCACATGCATGATATATGCATGAATCATGATGGGTTGATCGCAGTGATGCAGCAGCCGCCGCGCGGCTTTCCTCCTCTGCCGTCGTCGAGCGGATCAGCAGCGACGGCGCCGGAGCAGCAGCAGCCACGGCGGCGCTACCGCGGCGTGCGGCAGCGGCCGTGGGGGAAGTGGGCGGCGGAGATCCGCGACCCGGTGAAGGCGGCGCGGGTGTGGCTCGGCACCTTCGACACCGCCGAGGACGCCGCCCGCGCCTACGACGCCGCCGCCGTCCGCTTCAAGGGCTCCAAGGCCAAGGTCAACTTCCCCGACGAAGTCGCCGGCGCCAGCATCGCCGCCGTCCAGCTGCCACGCCATCATCAACACCACCCCCCAACGTCACTGCCGCCGCTGCCGGTGCCGGCGCATCTGAGGCCACACTTCAGCCTCGCCGGCGGCCAGAGCACCACACCGGCGCCCGCAGCCGCCGCCGTCGCCGCTCCGCCGCGGGAGGAGTTCCCCGACCTCAGCAGCTACGCGCACATACTGCAGAGCGGCGACCTGGAGTACGACTTCCACGCCGCGGTTTCTGCCGGACTAACGACGACAGCTGGGCGATCGTCGTCGTCGTCGTCATTGTCGATGCCGCCGCCATCCGAGGATCTTGACTATAAGCCTCCCTTTGGACCATCTAATTAATCTACTGATTATTCAAATTAGCATAGATAGATAACCCTTTACAAAATCAGGGGGAAATTCTGAAATTCTGCATTTTAGGAGTACAACTTAATTTGTAATAATGGAAATGGTTCACGAATTTTAGTATAATCAGAAAATAGATAGTATCATCTTGTAGCAAAGATGAATAGATAGAACAGTGCAGTGTGTACATTTCATTATGTCAACTTAACAGTGCTTGGATTGAAATGTAGATTAAGTAGGAGAATTAATTGTTTGTACTTTGTAGTAGTAAGTGGCTCCATCGATCCACTTGATTCTTAGAGACAAAGATGCCTTTGATGGCTTGATGCCTTTGAAACTGGACTGAGAATTTCTGTGGGTCGCTCTCACTCCACTCAGAACAAAGGGGGGAAACCAACGGCTGCATCTAGTATATCTATGTATCTCACCATCATCCGTACCGTATGTCTTTGTAGTTTCATACTTTTTCTTTAAACTTTTAACTTTTTCATCACATCAAAACTTTCCTACATACACAAATTTCCAACTTTTTCGTTACATCGTTCCAATTTCAACCAAACTTCTAATTTTGGCGTGAACTAAATACACCCTCAGATTATGTACTTCCTCTCTCATATAATGTTGTTACCTAGTTTCCGATTGGATACTTTCCAATCCAAGAAATCACAATGTTCAATCAGAGACTAGGTAGTAATATTTCGAGATGAATGAAGTACTTGCACTAGTATATACTTCATTCTAAAATAAGTTAACATGTTTAGATCTATCAAATTAGGTTGTCACATTTTTATTAATATTGACTTATTTTGAAACGGAGTAAGTGGTTGAGCCAGAAACACTGAATTTTATTTGATATGAGTCAACAGTAGTAATCTTTTAAAATTTTACAAAAGCTAAAGTAAATGTAGTGTGATTTTTACATGGCTTGGGAAGAGACGAGTTCCTTTTTCGTTGCTCCCTATTTCGTCCTGTCTATGTTGAATAGAATTGTGATGGTTTGGTGGGATGATCAGGTGGGATGGTGTACAGTGTACTAGGACGCGGTGTGTTGTGCCGTTTGTTAGAGCTAGCTGCATTCGGTAGTCATCATCATGTTTTTAATAGTGAAATTTATTCTGGCTTTTGCCTTAAAAGAAACTGTAACCAAGGAATCAAGGAATAGACATCATGTATTGGTGTGTTTTTCCTATAGTTTTGTATTTTTTTTATTATATTAATATGGAACTTCGCACTATTTGATATGGTCTCCAAGCTCACTTCTTTGAGAGGCATTCGCTCAGTCATGACCTCGCTCCGGTCTGATTTGTCCTCGGATCTGATCTCGAGCAAGTGCTTGGGCAAGTCCATTTCCCTAGTCGAATTCAAAAATACATACCTAATCTTAGCTTCTAAACCTAAGATCAAGATATACAAACCTACACGTTAGAAAAAGGACATGGGATCGGGATATTTCACGGTGTTCAGTTTCCTCCATCTTTCTTCAAAGAAACCCTTCATTGAGTCAAGTCGAAACCCTCCAACTTAACTCAATTCCGTTCGTTCAAAAGCAAGCAAAAAAAAAACTTGATTCCAGGTTTTGAAAACTTGAAGAAAACCCTAATTAACATCATGGTGCGGAACTGCACCGTTTTAAAAAATAGTGAAATGAATCATGCCTTTTTTTAGAAAGAGACTGAGCTTATCCTAAGGTTTATTCATGTAACGTGTACGGAACAATAGAACACTCACGCATGTGCACGTTAAATAGCGCGTGTACTGACGTTAGAAATAAAATAGATGGTAAAACATATTAAAGTCTGATGAAGATAGGAGGAATTTAATGTGTAACTAATTCCAGTACTTGTCGCCCACTGGAATATAATGCCCGGGGAAATAAAAATCTGAGCTGAGACCGATAATAACACGTACTACTACAACTTGCAAGGATCTATTGACGATTGATCTCTGGATGCAACGCATCGTCCGGGGAGGAGATGAGCTGAACAAGATAAGATGTGTGTGTGTTGTGAGGGCATCATATCCTTATCTCTCCAGCATGTCGTAACAGTGTCTAATCTGGACTCGATCATCACTTGTTGATTAATCTATGATAGTTAATAACGAGTTTTCTGGCTAGCTATATAACATGGTGCTCATTTTTTTTAATTATTTAATATTAGATCATTTCCTAATATTCGCATATAGGATCATTAATAATCATCTGTGCCTGCCCTGCTAGAGCGGTTAAACAAAAATCAAGCTAGGCAGGCACCCTGAGGCCTGAGTTTCTGCTAGCTGCACACACCCATATGTTAGTGCATGTATTATATATCCGCATAGATATAATGGGTACCAATATCTTTACTATGGCGTGTCTAAGATTTTTGTTTGATTTGTTTTCAATTGCAACCCTACGCCAACAAATCAAAATTATCCTTATCATTGTTACTGTACTCCCTCCGTTCCAAAAATATAGCAATCTAGAATGGGATGAGACCCATCTATATTTTGGGATGGAGAGAGTATCAAATATGAATTTTTGCACTCTCAAACAGTGGCGGAGTTAGAAAATCTACACACATAAGATTAAACTAATTGGAGTTCAAATATTTTTAGAAACTGCATGGTATTTTCAAGATTACATACAATGGGGATCATGCATGGAGCCAAGCATAGGGCTCAAGCCCTAGCTGCCCGTGCATGTTTCTGCCCCTGTTCTCAAACGGCACTCAACCAAAATTTGCAATGCTACTGAATTTTGGTAACAATAAAACATATCAGAAAACCGTCAAAAAAAATAAAACATATCAAAATTGGCATTGCTAAACGATGGTAGATTGAAAGAGCGACAAAATGAGCAAGTCCTTAAGGTGTCTTAAAAAATGTCAATCACTTTTCTTATTGCATAATCACTACGGTTCTCATAGCTCCTTCGTAGATTAAGCAAAAAAAACTATTCTAACTTACATTTTTTTAAAGAAAAACATAACCACATGAAATATATTTTCATTTCATAAAATATTACAAAATTGTATGTAGGAAAATTTAAACTCGACTAAAAATAAAGTAAAACCATATAATACAATAACTTTGTAGTTAAAAACGTAAAATTACACATTGCATATCATGTAATTTTAGGCTTAGAATTGTGCAGTTTTTAGGTAACTGAATTTCACAAATTTTCAGCCACCTAAAATCTAGCAATATCTCCTTTTACTTTTTTTTACTAGAAAAAATACCCGTGCGTTGCAACGGATGAAGTCTATTTTAATCTTATTATTGTTATATGGTTTAGTTAAGATGAAATTCATATTGTGTGAGTTCGCTTGGATATATATATTTTTTGAAAATCATGAGATGCAGTTAGGAGTCCAACCGTCTCAAGTTAGCACAGATTTCTTATATGGTTCCTTCTATATTACCAAAAGTGAACAATCTTAAAAAACGACTCAAATACGGATATGTATTTCTAAAAGCAAATGAACTTATAAATCGACCCATACACGGATGACGTACCAAAATACCAGAAAAACATATTCAATTTTTATAATAGTAGAGATATTAGGGCTATCAACCGGTAGCAACATGCAGCCGCAAACATAGTTGTTCTTCCAATATTTCTAGATAATATAGTAAATACTAGTCTGGCCTCTATATCCCTCAACGATGCACATGGCCAGTGTCATTGGGAATGTACTATCTCTATCTCTAAATATGATTATATCTAACTATGCCTCTAAATGAGACTCCATCTTATTATATAAAAAAAACTTGAGACTCCATCTTAGAATTTAAGTTTCTAAATAACTGTTCCTTTGACATTTGTTTTTATAGGGGCTGTGCATTTTGACTTGTACGGCTGTCATTATCTTGACATAATAGTACTGGTTAACTGTTTGTGTGACCCTATGTGCGCTATCAAGGTCGTATGCATGGTCTAGATTGACCGTACAGGGCTAATTGTCTTGACTAGTTGTCAACTTGCCTCGCTAAACTTTGACTTGAAAGCAAGTACCCGTTCAAATGGTCAAATCCTTGCTGCCATTGATCTAATCTACGGAGTACTACTACTACTACTACCATAATGGATTAATGGCACTGCATGATGCATATTTGAAGTTAAGTTGATTATATTATGTTTTTCTTCTTCTTACAAACGAATAAGATACATATTTGCAGCCCATAACGTTTATTAATTAAAAAATTATTTTAAAAGTAAAATATTTATGTATGTATTATGAGGACTTAAGACAATGCTAAAAAAACACTTCCTCTGTTTTAAAATAAATTCATTTTCACTCATCTCACACGTACGGACATACCAATAAAAAACAAAAAGACTATAATACATCTACTTCATGAAATTTCCACGATACTATATTTCGCATTTTATCTACTTTTAATATAATTATTTCTTACTTTCACAAACTCCGATGTAATAATTACTTAAAAATGAACATATTTTGGTACAACTGGAATGAACTAAAAAAAAACTTATTACAAGACGAAGGAAGCAAACTATAATTTTTTTTAAAAAAAATCATAATTAACTCTAACATTAAGATTTACAGAAAGTTAAAGAGCAAACAATAGAGCACTTGGCTTGCTGATAAGCAGCCAAGCAGAATTTACAAAAACATCGAGGGTGGGGTTACCGCCAACTCACAGTTCGGCTGTTACCGTGAAAAACGCACGATTACAACGAGGTATACCGTGATTTAAAAACCGAGAAGGTTACCACACGTGATAACAACGCAATAACCGTATGGTTTTGTAAACCTTGCTAGTAAGTACTCTCTTGATTATGGAATATAAAGGATATTAACAAAATTCGGAGGTGGCAATAGAGAATTACTGTTTGCACGGTCCAAGAATTAAGAGAAGATGAAATGAATCACGTCAAACTCGTCAAGAGCAAGAGGAGGGATGAAAGAAACCATGGAGAGCATATCATCGGAGGATTGGATCGGATCAGATCCCTTTTGCGCACCACTCGCCTTTTTTTCCCCTTCTTTTTGACAAACTCTCTCTCCTTCAATCCTCACCGTCCAATCCGACGGATCCAACGGCCCAGATCACTCCTCCCATCGAGGACCACGTACCCATCACCACAAATATGATAAAACCCAGGGACTAAAACGCAACATCGCGACGATCTTTTCTACCGTCGTCGTCGCCAGCCATCGAGTCGATGGTCTTTATGCGATTCCGCCCCCGGATTTTCTCCCCTTCGCTTTTCGGCCCCTCTAAACCCAGAACCCCAACCCTAGCCGCCTCCCCACCCGCCGCCGCCGCCGCTCGCCGCCGGATCGTCTCGATGGCCTCCTCGACGACGACGTCGGAGGACGCGCTGCGCCGGGCGCTGGCGGAGAGGCAGGCGGCCGTGGACGCGCAGGCGGAGGCGGTGCGGGCGCTCAAGGCGGCGGGGGCAGCTGCGGCCAAGGCCGAGGTGGATGCCGCGGTCGAGGCGCTCAAGGCGCTCAAGGTGGAGGCCGGCGCCGCCGCGCGGAGGCTGCAGGCGGCCGTCGGGGCTTCCGGCGGCGGAGGCGGGGCCGCGCGGGAGGAGATGCGGCAGGCGGTGGTGAACACGCTGGAGAGGAAGCTGTTCTACATCCCTTCCTTCAAGATCTACCGCGGCGTCGCCGGGCTGTACGACTACGGCCCGCCGGGATGCGCCGTCAAGGCCAACGTGCTCGCCTTCTGGAGGCAGGTCAGGCCGCGAGCGGAGCCATCTCACAAATATTACCTGTTGTTGTTCACGCTTGTTCAGTTCATTCGTTGGGGATTAAATGTATCCGAAGTTTGTTTAGATTAATTAGATAGTACTCCGTAGCACCAATCTAGTTTGAAATATTTCGTTGTGATAAAATCATAAAAATGTAACTTATGCCAGTGAATGTGTACTAACTTATTCACTTAATCTCACAAACATGACTTGTTGTTCATGCTTGTTCAGTTCATTCGTTGAGGGTTAAATGTGTCTGCTCTTACAGCTCAATTGACGTGTTCAGGTTTGTTTAGATTAACTAGAGAGTACTCCGTAGCACTGATCTAGTCCGATATATTTCGTTCTGATAAAAATGCAACTTATGCCAGTGAATGTGCACTACCAATAGGAGATTGTGACCTGAAAGTAGAATTATTTAGTTAACCATGTGACACTGTGTTCTTGATTGCTTTGTTTTGCAAGAATAGCTTTTATATGTTTGAAATTGCTTGTGTATTTGATAACTTTTTATTTTGATTTTACTTATGTTGGGTACTAAGATTTTAGTCACCAAATTCATTCTTTTCTTTTCAGCACTTCGTTTTGGAGGAGAACATGTTGGAGGTTGACTGCCCCTGTGTGACGCCTGAGGTTGTGTTGAAGGCATCGGGGCATGTCGAGAAGTTTACTGACCTCATGGTTAAGGATGAGAAGACAGGCACATGCTACCGTGCTGACCACCTGTTGAAAGATCACTGCAAGGAGAAGCTTGAGAAGGATCTCACCTTGTCCCCGGAGAAGGCAGCTGAATTGAAGCATGTTCTTGCTGTCCTGGATGACCTTTCAGCAGATGAACTTGGCGCAAAGATTAAGGAATATGGGATTGTTGCCCCTGATACTAAGAACCCGCTCTCTGATCCCTACCCGTTCAATCTTATGTTCCAGACATCCATCGGCCCTACCGGTCTTAATGTTGGGTAAGAATATCAATGTTCACTTTTTTTAACCCAAGAGATTAATGTTCACTGTTTAATTCTGTTGTTATGCTGATTGGCTGAATGTGTTCAATTTTGTGTGAACAAACAGGTATATGAGACCAGAAACAGCACAGGGTATTTTTGTCAACTTCAAGGACTTGTACTATTACAACGGGCAAAAGCTCCCTTTCGCAGCAGCTCAAATCGGGCAAGCATTCCGTAATGAGGTCTGTGTTTTGATACATTTTGTCTTTGCGTTCTGCATTTCGATTATATGCTTGAAGGAGTCTAGACTTATTGACTATAGGTCTATAGCTAACTATGCTTAGGAAACTCTCCACTATGCCATGGTTTTTTAGAGGGTTCTTTCTTTTGTGTTATACTCACTGTTTCTATACCATGCAAATCAGATTTCTCCACGACAAGGTCTTCTACGTGTGCGTGAATTCACATTAGCCGAGATTGAGCACTTTGTGGATCCTGAGGATAAATCTCACCCAAAATTTGTTGATGTTGCTGATTTGGAGTTTTTGATGTTTCCAAGAGAGCTGCAACTTTCAGGGGAGTCAGCCAAGTTAGTGAAGCTTGGGGAAGCAGTTTCAAAGGTACATCGTCGCTGCCTTGCTGACCAATTTGCAGTTGTTGAATTTGACATGTTTCTCTTTTTTTGTATTAAGAGGTGTTACTTCTCCGAGCTGTCTTATTCAAAACTTCTATCTTGTTTCTACAGGGAACTGTTAATAATGAGACACTTGGTTACTTCATTGGGAGGGTCTATCTTTTCCTAACACGTTTGGGTATTGATAAAAACCGGCTACGCTTCAGGCAGCATCTACCTAATGAGATGGCCCATTATGCTGCTGACTGTTGGGATGCAGAGATTGAGTGCTCTTACGGATGGATAGAATGTGTGGGCATTGCTGACAGATCTGCGTATGATTTGCGAGCTCATTCTGTAAGCCTACAACATCTCTTGAATATTTTTGCACATATTATGTGTAGCTCTTTGGATATGCTGCACTTGGATTTTGAGTTCCTCATTGGTTATGTTGCATCAAGAGTTCATGTTGCTTGTTTCATATGTAAAGTACACATGCTAACAATCATGTTATATTTACTGACCACTGTTTCGTGTTTTACTTTAGTACTAATGTTGATTGTGCTTACCTTGTTGCTGTTCTACAGGACAAAAGTGGTGTTCCACTTGTTGCTCATGAAAAATTCTCAAAGCCTAGAGAGGTTGAGGTGAGTTAACTGTCATGTCTGATTCTTTGGTATTCTTCTGCAGGAGTCATTTTGTAACATATTAAATAATGTGTATTAGACTTGAGCTAATTTGCTTGCTGTTGCTACTACTTTCCATTGCAGAAACTTGTTATAGTGCCCTCAAAGAAAGACCTGGGGCTTGCTTTTAAGGGGAACCAAAAGATGGTGGTTGAAGCATTGGAGGTAACTTTTTTTTGGTGCCATTGTCTTTATTATATTTCTTGCCAGTTTTCTTATTTCTACCAAAATGACAACTTTGTTTTATGGACTTCATGCTCGGTCTGACAGGCTATGAGTGAGAAAGAAGCAATGGACATGAAAGCTGCTCTTGAATCTAAGGGAGAAACAAATTTCCAAGTGTGTACTCTTGGAAAGGATGTGGTAATAACCAAGAAAATGGTATCGATCAGTATGGAAAAGAAGTTGGAACACCAACGAGTCTTCACCCCATCAGTCATTGAGCCTTCATTTGGCATTGGGAGGATAATCTACTGTCTATTTGAGCATTCCTTCTACACAAGACCTAGCAAATCAGAAGAGGAACAACTGAATGTCTTCCGGTTCCCTCCTATTGTTGCTCCTATCAAATGCACTGTGTTCCCCCTGGTGAAGAATCAGGAGTTTGACGACGCTGCGAAAGTTATTGATAAAGCATTAACAACAGCAGGCATCTCGCATATTATTGACACTACTGGTACGTATATAATATGAAAATAGCTTCTCCCACTGTTGCTTGAAGATATTATTAACATCTAATTGACAATAAAGAAAAACATCTGAGTTAAAAATTATTACCATGTTGGGAAGTGTAATATGCAAATTCATGCTAGTTTATGCATTACTCTATGAGCTTATGTATGTCATGTGCTTGTGCAGCCATTTCTATTGGGAGGAGGTATGCAAGGACAGATGAGATCGGTGTTCCATTCGCGGTAACAGTTGACTCTGCGACAAGCGTGACAATCCGGGAGAGGGACAGCAAGGAGCAGATCCGAGTTGGCATCGATGAGGTGGCATCAGTGGTGAAACAGCTGACAGATGGGCAAAGCACCTGGGCCGATGTTTCATTTAAGTATCCCAGCCATATTGGTCCCCAGGGTGATCAGGAGTGAAAATCCTGAACCCTGTTCCAAAGAAGCACCCCAAATGGCCGTTGATTGACTTGAGGAGAAATAGTTCTTCCTCGTTTCATGCAATCTGGCAAGAACAAAGTTTGTCATACACAAATATACAACTCTTGGACGCCCTTACATCTCTCCATTGTTCTTTTTGCTCTCTTTCAAAAGTTTCACCTGATTTACATGTTCACAATACAGAACATAGCATTTGATTTTCTGCTGAATTCGTCCTGTTAACTTGTAAGGTCGCACCAAGAATTGTTCACCTACCTTCAAAGTTCCAACAAACGAGCTGAAGCTTTGAGTTATTACTTTTCTTAGACTCTTAGTTTTTGTACTCAGATTGTCTTGTCTCTAGTATTGCTTAAGGATTAAGGTGAATCTTTTGACTGCCTAACATGAGGAGAATTTGCACCCACTCCGTTGATTTCTCACTGTCGTGACATGAGAATTTCAGCAAGGAAGGCTGCTTAAGCCATACTCCCTCCATCTCAAAATAACTGCAGCCATGGTTTTTTGCGCCCAGTTTTGACCGTTCGTCTTATTTGAAAGTATTTTAAAAAATTTTAAAAACACAAGTCACGAGTAAAGTACTATTCATATTTTATCATCTCATAACAATAAAAATGCTAGTTATAAAATTTTTTCAAATAAGACAGACGACTAAAGTTGAACACGAAAACTTATGGCTGTTCTTATTTTGGGATGGAGGTAGTATTGTTTTCGATTAGTCCAACTATAAAGGCTGCAATTTTCTCTTCCATTGCATTTTTAACCCCTACTACTTGCCGCACCTTGTGACCATTCCCGCCATAATCCTTGAACTGCTTGCTTGGTCTCACGATGGGTCCCACTGACTGGCCGGAGCCGGCCGCCGGCGACGAGAGCAGCGCCGTCGTGTCCGACACCGACGAACACTCCGAGGAGAGCTCAGCCGATGCCAACGCCGACGAGACGGCGACGCGCGTGCAGCGCCGGCTTGACGAGGGCGCGGACGCCGAGGCCGAGGAGATGGCGGCGCGCATGCAGCGGCGGGTGGAGGCGCTGCCGGGGAAGGCGCACGAGAGCGAGCCGTTCACCATCTTCCGCGTCGCCGGCCCGATGCGCGGCCGCAACCGCCACCTCTACGAGCCCCAGATGGTCTCCGTCGGCCCCTTCCACCGCGGCGCCGCCCGCCTCCGCGCCATGGAGGAGCACAAGTGGCGCTACCTCCGCGACCTCCTCGCCCGCAACAACCCCGGCGGCGACGCGCCGCTCGCCGCCTACGCCCGCGCCGCCCGCGAGCTCGAGCCCGCGGCGCGCCGCCGCTACGCCGAGCCCGTCGCACTCCCGCCGCGGGAGTTCGCCGAGATGCTCCTCCTCGACGGCTGCTTCATCGTCGAGTTCTTCCTCAAGGGCGAGGACCGCGCCGCCGACGCGCTCGTCGACGCCGCGTGGGCGATGCAGAACGTGTACAACGACCTCTTCCTCCTCGAGAACCAGCTCCCCTTCTTCGTCGTCGAGCGCTTCTACGACATCGCCACCGGCGGCCTCGGCCGCGACTACCTCGTCACAAGCCTCCTCGCCAAGTACCTCACCATGGACACCCCTCAGGACGCCGCCACGGCGCGGCCGCCCGACGGCGAGATCCTCCACCTCCTCCACCTCTACTACCACTGGTTCTTGCCACCGGAGGAGAGGACGAGCGACAGCGGCGGCGGCGCCGCCGGCAAGGAGGAGGAGGAGGACGAGGCGTTCTGGGACGAGTGGCTGGCGAAGCCGATCCACGAGCGGGTGCCATGGCAGATGCCGCCGGCGACGGAGCTGCAGGACGCCGGGGTGACGTTCCGGGCCAAGGCGTCGCCGCGCAGCCTCGTGGACGTCACGTTCGACCGGCGTGGCGGCGTGATGGAGATCCCGACGGCGGAGAACTACGCGAACCGCGCCATGCTCGCCAACCTGGTGGCGTACGAGCAGAGCCGGGGGCGGCGGGAGATGCAGCGGGTGGCGAGCTACGCGCTCCTCATGGCGTCGCTCGCCGACGGGCGGCGCGACGCGGAGGCGCTGCACCGCGCCGGGGTGCTCGCCGGGGGGGACGTGGACGAGGCGGCGGCGTTCTACGCGCACCTGTGCCCGCCGCCGGAGGCCGTGAACAACTGCTACGGCGAGGTGTACGGCGGCGTGAGGGAGTACTGCGGCCGGAGCTGGAACCGCCACCGCGCCGTGCTGGCGCACGACTACTTCAGCAACCCGTGGACGAGCATGTCCGCCGCCGCCGCCGTCCTCCTCCTCCTCCTCACCGTCGTCCAGACCGTCTACACCGTTCTACCCTACTACCATCCCACCTAATCACACACCTACTATTGCATGTATTGTATCGTATCGTACCTTTTTTTAATCCCATTCTTGGAAGAGATCATTAGCGCATAATCCTACTCTGTAAAATAGTAGTAACATCTTTTTAATTGCACATGTACTCTTCCGTTACAAAGGCTCTGTTCGGCAGCCATACAAGCTGCGGCTGCTACATCACAAATTCACTGCAAGGTGCAAGCTGCAGCAATTCTCAACTACTGTAGCTTCAAAAAATACCAGCCGAACACATCCAAAATACAAAATATAAGAAATTTTAGATGAATAAGACACGTTCTTTAGAATGGAGAGAGTAGTAGATTAGCAACCAAATTTTACTAAGGCAGTAGCTATATTATTTTTAGTACAACTATAAAGGTTGATGGGTAGCACAAGCCCAAAACCTGATTATTGTTATACCCATGGCATTTCACCGAATATCTGGTAGTTATAAGGCTATTCTCAACCCAATGACTAGAATAATGTCCATAGCATTAAATAAGCTGACACCTAAGATGAAAGATGATGTAACAAGTAAATAAATGAGGAAATATAAGGACATCAGGTTTTACATGAGATATAGTTTCTACACAATATTTAAGACATCATGTTAAATAAATAGCATAAAATTTAAGTATGGAAAAATGGTGTTTGCATTGAAAGAATAGTGTCTAGTATTGTAGACTGGTGAGGGCGAGTTAGAGCAAATAATCCAATACTTCTTGGGCGTCACCTTGGATTGCACGTTCTCAAGTCCCAACCAAGAACGTCTTTGGGATTTGTGTATCCACAATTCTACTGCCGTCTTGAGAGACTAACATATCAGCTTTCATTTTGTAGTCTACCTCCACATGTCTCAACTTGGCCCCTCCATCCGCCTTGACATCATATCCAACTCACTTGCTATGGCAGCTTGCTTGGTGATGTATCTAGGCCTCTTCCTAGGAATTGCAATGCTATACCAACAGTGAGATGAGCATACGAAGCTCTGATACCATATTGTTAGCAAACTAATTTACTAAGGCCCTGTTTAAATTCCCTGGTAAAATTTTACACCCTGTTACATCGAATGTTCATACACATGCATCGAATGTTTAGACACATGCATGAAGTATTAAATGTAAACGAAAAAATAACTAATTATACAGATTGCGTGTAAATTGCGAGACGAATCTTTTAAGCCTAATTGCGCCATGATTTGACAATGTTGTGCTATAGTAAACATCTGCTAATGATGGATTAATTAGGCTTAATAAATTCGTCTCGCAGTTTACAGTCGGAATCTGTAATTTGTTTTGTTATTAGTTTACGTTTAATACTTTAAATGTGTGCCCGTATATCCAATATGACACGCTAAAACTTTTCACCCCTGGATCTAAACACAGTCTAAGTGAATAGCTGTAGTAGTCTAGATAAAACTCAAAACTCAAGGTTGGTGTTGATAAGAAGCTAGATGAAGAAGGAGATCTACAGTCAAAGCTTGGCTCCAGATAGCCGCCACCCTCACTGTTGCTTGTCTCCTTTTGTGCAATTTGCATTTCTTCCAGCCGGATGGTCCAAGTGAAAACCCAAACACAGGTCATCAAAGCCGATGTCTTAACTGTTGCATACTACACACACCAATTAACTGGCACATTAACACACACTACAACTTATGAAAAAAAAAGTTCCTTTTTAATTGCACATGAATTATATTAGATGTTGCAACCTTCATAATTTGTTTTAGCTATAATCCAATGGACAGACAGTGACAACAGAGCTCACAATCTTTTTCGAAAAAAAAAAAGACAACAGAGCTCACAAGCATACAGTGATGCAGACGGCCATGCGTGACATACCAGTCCTGAACAGAGGACATAAGTTCTAAGAATTGCGTGCGTCAGCAATGCCAATGAGGAAACCGACAACTCAGCATCTACCATACGATATGCTCTTGTGCGTTCTCTAATCCGCATGCAAATATCTAATAGAAGTGTCTGGAGAGGAGTCGTGGAGCGGTATAAACCAGCTCCATATATCTAGTTTATTCTATGATAGCGTTTTATCTAGCTCTGCTCTTATTTTAAGTGGGCTAAAACTATTTGGTTAGACTCTAGCTTTTGGAGTGGAGCTATGCCAAACAGACCTCAAATATAGAATACTTAAGGAGTCAAGGTTAGTGGCTAAGCACACGATTATCCTCTTGTTCTTCAAGCAACACATTATTCCTGGCTGATTGAGACACCAACCCGTGCTAATTAAGCAGTTCAATCATTTAACCAAAAAAAACTAATTAAGCTAAGCATCCGTAAGCAAAGAACACAGAGTGAGCTGTAATGATCTGTAGTACTACGCTTTAATTGCTTTGACCACGGCCGCCGCCATTGTTGTGCTCTTCTTCTCCCTTTCTTCCCCGGCGCCGACCTCCCTGCCACGCGTCGTGCCCTGATTAGCTCACTCCCCCCTGCCCCCACCTGTCAGCCTTACACGTTGCGCTGTAGTAGGTGGGGCCCACTTGAGGAAGCGGGGGTCAAACTTCCCCCGCGTTTTGGTCGTCGTCGTCGTCGTCTTCTTCCTTCTCCTCCTCCGCCTCGAATGGCTCCACGCTTCAGCCGCGGCTAGGGTTTCGTCGCGAGCGACCTCCCGCCGCCCGCCATGGAAGCTTCCACCTCCCTCCTAGTCCTCGTCCTCGCCGCCGCGGCGTTCGCGGCGGGGACGGTGACGGAGGCGGCGGGGGACGGGTGCAGCGCCGGGTGCGACCTCGCGCTGGCTTCCTTCTACGTGACGCCGAACCAGAACGTCACCAACATGGCGGATCTCTTCGGCATCGGCGCGGCGAACTACCGCAGCCTCGCGCCCTACAACCCGAACATCCCCAACCTCGACTTCATCAACGTCGGCGGCCGCGTCAACGTCTACTTCACCTGCGGCTGCCGCTCGCTGCCGGGCTCGCCGGGAGCCACCTACCTCGCCGGCGCCTTCCCCTTCCAGATGTCCCGCGGCCAGATCTACACCTCCGTCGCCGCCAACTACAACAACCTCACCACCGCCGAGTGGCTGCAGGCCACCAACAGCTACCCGGCCAACAACATCCCGGACACCGCCGTCATCAACGCCACCGTCAACTGCTCCTGCGGCGACGCCAGCATCTCGCCGGACTACGGGCTGTTCCTCACCTACCCGCTCCGCGCCGAGGATACGCTCGCCTCCGTCGCGGCGACCTACGGGCTCTCGTCGCAGCTGGACGTGGTCAGGAGGTACAACCCGGGGATGGAGAGCGCCACGGGGAGTGGAATCGTGTACATCCCCGTCAAAGGTGAGGTTTCGCAGCTTCCTCTTGTGGATGCTGCTGCTGCTGCTGCTGTTCCATGTGAATTGTGGGGAATTCGGTTCAAATTTGGCATTTCATTAGTTCATTTTGATGCGAATTGAGGAATTCTAGGGATTAGGCGATTAGTTACTGTAGGGGACTGAGGGGATTTTTTTGTTGGTAGGTTTGTACTAGCTAGAAAATGAGCGGTTATTTGAAGCAGTTTTGGACTGGATGCCCTGAAATTGATTTGGATTAGTTACCTGGGAGAAAAGGGGGAAGTGTATGCATAGCAGCTATATTGTTGGAGTTATATTGGTTGTGTTTGCAATTGCGTTATTGCACAATTGAACTGATTGATTGAACTCTGGCTATGGCACTCCCCACACACTATCATCCTTCATATGCCCTTTTTGACGCTCAAATAGCTTGGAATTCCTTTTATGCTTTGTGGAAATTCTACCTGCATGCTAACTCAATAAGCATGAGGCTCAGAATCATCTTGGCATTACTGTTAATTTAGAGAAACAAAATTGACTGGAATTGCTTTGTTTTAGTAAAATGGAACCAAAGGTCTCCTCATATGGCTCTATAAGATTCCAAGTGTGATCATCGATGATCCTTCTGCTGATACTCAGTTGGCATGATTGAGGCTTAATTCAATTCATTGCATCTCCTTTTCCTCTCGACAAAACAATTAACATAAATTATATGCTCTGTAGGATTGATGTAATCTTGCTAATATGGTTTACTGTGGTTGGTTTTTCAGATCCCAATGGAAGTTACCTACCTCTGAAATCACCAGGGTAAGTGCTGGTAGATTGCTGTATAGTCCTATCCACTTGGATTGCATTGCTATTGTTCCTGTTGTTTTTATTCTTTTTGCAGTTATGCTGATAAGTATCCTCATTTTGTGCAGTACAGGCAGCTTCTGTCCTTTGCAAGCTAATTATGCGTCTGCATGAAGGTTTCCGCTAAGCAAAATTGGAAGCCGTTGATTCTTGCAAGAGAACCATGATGCTATACTTAACTCTCAACTGTTTGGATCAGGAAAGGGAGCTTCTGCAGGAGCTATAGCAGGAGGTGTTGTGGCTGGTGTCGTTGTGCTTGCTGCCATCTTCTTGTATATCATATTCTATAGGAGGAGAAAGGCAAAACAGGCCACCCTGCTTCAATCATCTGAAGATTCCACACAACTTGGTAATAATAAGCTTATGTAGATTTGAACTCTATGTCTCTGACCCTTCATCAGATATTTATCTTTAGAAAGGCGTATGCAAGCCCTGATTTTACCTGCAAGTTAATTTTGCCCTCTGTTCATATCAGCAATGGCTTAGTTTGTTGGTACTGTCCTTTTAAGTGATTATTTTGCAACGATTTAAATGGTTATTTTGTTCAAGGGCCTGGGGATGTAGTGGAGTAAGTAGATTTTTTTTGGTACCCATGAATTTGTTTTAGGGGACTCTTACTCCAGAGTTTTTCTTGTGTGGCTTATAAGTGTAATTTTGAATGTGCTTCTTCCCTGAGTGATTTTTCTCCTTCCTGATGAGTACAATAGAATGGAATTTCCTCTGTTTCTAACATACTACTGTTTTTGTTCCAGCAGGTACGATATCCATGGATAAAGTTACCCCATCAACAATTGTTGGCCCTTCACCAGTTGCAGGCATTACAGTTGACAAATCAGTAGAGTTCTCATATGAAGAACTTTCTAATGCTACACAGGGGTTTAGTATTGGCAATAAAATAGGGCAAGGTGGTTTTGGTGCTGTCTATTATGCTGAACTTAGAGGCGAGGTTAGCTCAAAATTTTCTCAGATGAATATGTAACAAAAGTACATTTCCAATCCAAAATCATCTTCGAGTCATGACATCATCTAATGCTTGGACATGTACTAGCAAAATAAGACACAGTTATGATGATCCATTCATTGTGATCATTTGCTACTGTTATCGTCTTTGCTCCAAAATGACTTCCCTGTTTCTCTTGTTTCTCTAGAAAGCTGCCATCAAGAAAATGGACATGCAGGCTACTCATGAGTTCCTTGCTGAATTAAAGGTTTTGACACATGTTCATCATCTGAACCTGGTAAGTGATTTTTAAATATATTTTTTCCTAGGCATCAGAAGAATCTTTTCCACCCCTCCTGTTCCCTTGCATAAATACATATAGGTAGTCTGCATTCAGGTTAATCTGTTTTCTTTTCTTCCATTCTCAATGTTCGATATATTTTCATACAGGTGCGTTTGATTGGTTATTGCATCGAGAGCTCTTTGTTCCTTGTCTATGAATTTATCGAGAATGGCAACTTGAGCCAGCATTTGCGTGGAATGGGTATTGTGTTGCCTCTTGAATAAGTTGGTCATGCCAATTTTGATGCTTTCTGCAAATTAATCTTATTCACTCTTGTAATAGGTTATGAACCTTTGTCTTGGGCTGCCAGGATTCAAATTGCACTAGATTCAGCAAGAGGTCTTGAATACATTCATGAACATACTGTTCCAGTATACATACATCGGGACATCAAATCAGCAAACATCTTGATAGACAAGAACTACCGGGCAAAGGTTGGAATAATTCACGATTTCACGTGTTCCTTTTCCTTTTATTTTCTATTTTTGCTTATCCTTCATGTAATTATTATGTATACCTTTCAGGTTGCAGATTTTGGTTTAACAAAGCTTACAGAAGTTGGTGGTACATCAATGCCCACAGGCACACGTGTTGTTGGTACATTTGGTTACATGCCTCCAGAGTATGTCTCTTAAATTTTTGTTTGCCCATTAGATATGGGTGCAAAATTGCAGAGCAACCCCATCTGTGAATCTGTGTTGGAAGCTTATATGCATGGAACATGCCGTTTGCAGGTATGCTCGATATGGAGATGTTTCTCCTAAGGTTGACGTCTACGCCTTTGGTGTTGTCCTCTACGAACTTATTTCAGCGAAAGAAGCCATAGTCAGATCAACCGAATCTTCAAGTGATTCAAAGGGGCTGGTTTATCTGGTGATTTTCCCTGCTCAACTAACTAGTTACTTTCTGCCATTGTTCTTTCAAGAAACAGTCCATTACTTACAGCACTGAAAACTGCAGTTTGAGGAGGCCCTCAACTCGCCGGATCCCAAGGAAGGCCTTAGGACGTTGATTGATCCAAAGCTAGGAGAAGATTATCCTATTGATTCCATTCTCAAGGTTAAAACCATGCAGAAAAAAATGCCATTGCATATTCGCTTTTCCCGTGTGGTTGATGAAATACTTGAAGGCTAAAAGAAATCCATTGCATTTTGCAGCTGACACAACTCGCAAAGGTGTGCACACAAGAAGACCCCAAGCTGAGGCCTTCAATGAGATCCGTGGTCGTCGCGCTGATGACGCTTTCATCCACAAGTGAGTTCTGGGACATGAACAACCTGTATGAGAACCAAGGTTTGGTCAACCTAATGTCCGGGAGATAGTGACTTTGGTGCCGCCTGCACACTGGGAAAATTGTACATTCAGGCTCATCTGAAGTGTGTAATGACAGCCATTACATTGTTTTGTCATCTTTGTTATTCTTTTCTTTTTTGCTGTTCCTACTTAGAGACCTTAGACATCTGGAAGGCTATATGTAAGATATTGACTTCTACATTCCAATGGAAATAAATAAATATTATCCTGTAGATATTATAGTTCCCCCTACTTAAGCAGCCTCTGCAAAGGATCCACTGAACCTTGTATTGCTCATGTGATGCTTCACTTGCTGGCAAATGCTGGATGCAGGAAATAAAATTATTGATCCATCTGTTGTAGCATCAACCGTTGAGATGGCCGAGTTGGTCTAAGGCGCCAGATTAAGGTTCTGGTCCGAAAGGGCGTGGGTTCAAATCCCACTCTCAACATTATTTTTCTTATTTTTCCTCTGTTGCCTTTACTGCTATTGCTGCTAAAATTTCAACATTATTTTTCTTATTTTCCCCCTGTTGCCTTTACTGCTATTGCTGCTAAAATTTCATCTTTTGTTTCTGCCTGTTGACTGTTGTAAAATTTCATCTTTTGTTTCTGCCTGTTGACTGTTGTAATTCATATATTTTTTTAGCCTTTTCTGCTAAAAGTTCATCTATTTTCTTTCGTAGCCTTGCTGCTGTTGTTTGGCTGTAAAAACCAAAACATCTTTTCTGTCTGCTCACAAATCTCTCGGATTGGTGCAGGACATGCAAATTTGGATGAGCAGTAAATTTCATTGTTGTTCCATGGCATCGTGTAAATTTATTGGATTGGACAATGGCATTTTGCAGAATTATTTATGCTTCGACTTCCCTATTCTCTTTCCAGTCTCCCACGTCAGGGGAGGGGTAGGAGAGCCGCGTCAATGGCGGCCGGCCGGCCGGCGACGAGGATCCCCACGGCCACCGGCGCCTCCGCGCAGGGCAACCGAAGAAGAAGAGAACCCCCAGCAACGTGAGGAGCGCTACGTGGGCCGAATATCTTTCATGGTAGTGGGCCGATTTGTTTCATGGGCCTACGCTAGTTATCATCTGAAGCCAGCTTAGTGGGCTCGATGCCAACACGGCCCATATTGGATTACCCGTCAATTGGGCCCAATCGGCTGGCTGGCCTTCCTCCTGTGCTCGCCCGTTGTACCGAAAATTTAACAATATAACCATTTTCAAAAACTTATTTGAAAAATGAATCACGACTTCAACGTCATCAGGTTTAGCGAAGTCCAATATCTCTGCATCAAAACCGATGGCACGATTTATTTTTGAAATAAGTTTTTAACACGGTTTCGTAATAAGTTTTTGAAAAGAGTCAAATTGTCAAATTTCTGGCCCGATGTGCTCTTTGCGTTACAATTTCTGCTGCTGCATGTGAGGGTCTACTTTCAGTTTTGTTCTTTCTGTTCTTCGAATTCCATGATAATAAAGAGTTTAAATATTGTGGGAACGAAAAAAGCTCCTGTTTTTCAAACTAGGCTAATCAAATCTCCTTTGAAATGAAGGATTTTTTTTTTGAAGAATTTAATGAAAAGTAAACTAATTACCATAAAAAATAATTATGTAAAAATCCTTGTGTTCGAATAATACACAGTTCATCTATCTCACACGTGAAGCATGGAAAGCATGATCAGCTAGCTATGCGGCGACGGCACTTCCTCGTCGATCATTACGCTGCGGCAAGAAAATAAAACGTACGGACACGATGGAGGGGTCATTTCCTTTACAATAATAACACTACTATCAGTATTTCCCAAACCGCTAAAACCGGGTTACCGTACCCCAACAGTAAGCACGGTTACCATACGGTAACCGCGGTAATCATGTGAAACCATGTAAAATTTATCAAAAATTCAAATTATTTTTTAAATTTATTTAAATTTAAGGAGGTTGTCGTGGTTTTTCTATTATCGTACCCCACGGTAACCGCGCGGTTACCGACGATAACGTAAATCCTGACTACTATATGTATTGATGTGTGGGACATATCAGTAACTGTAACGATTGTAATAACAATATGATAGAGGATTATAGGAGTGGATCATGACCTGGACCGATGACCCATTATAGCTTAGGCTGCCTGTGAATATCAATTACAAGATGAAAATACAGACTTTACAGTACATATTGTATCTCAGGATATGTTGATGTGTGTCATTAGTAGTATATCTAAATCAGCACACAGATTAGATGCTACTACTATATACTTCTTCCGTTTCATAATGTAAGTCATTTTAACATTTTTCACATTTATATTGATGCTTAAGAATCTAGATAAATATATTAATTAGTAGCATGAATAACTTACATTGTTAAATGGAGGAAGTATATGCGATCGTCGTGTCGTTTCACTGCTCGAACCTTTTGACAATATGGTTGCCAAGACGAATTTTGGTGCTACTATAAGATCGTTGTCGTTGCGTTTTATTTGGCCAAGTGAGAGTATACCCTTTTTGCCCTTTTTTATGGTGAAAAACAATAGAAGTTATACATGATGTTTTGCAGGAGTACAAACATTTGCAATACTGTCGGTGCCTATAAAGCTATATAAATTAGAGAAAAGTACATTTTACCCCCCTAACTATCGAGGTCGACCGAATTACACACCCAAACTCGAAAACCGGACATTCTACACCCTCAAGTATTGATACCGGGCAAATTACCCCCCTGAGCACTGTTTTAGGTGGTTTTGGGATAGACTTGCTGACATGGCATTCCAGCGTGGCAAAAAAAAAATAATAATGGACCCACGTGTCAGTCTCTTTATCTCCTCTCTATCCCCTCGCGCCGGCCAGCCTCCTCTCGCCGCGGGAGAAGGCACCTCCGCCGGCCACGCGCGGACCACCTCCTCCGCTCGCCGCGGGCGGAGCCGCCTCCGCCGGCCGCGCACGGCCCCGCCGCGAGGGCCTCCTCCGCTCGCCTTCCAGCTCCGCGCGGCTTCGCCGTCTCCGCCGGCTGCGCGCGGCTCCACCGCCTCCGCGGGCCGCACGCGGCTCCGCCGCCTCCACTGGCCAAGCGCGCCTCCGCCGCCTCCGTCGGCCACGCGCGGCCCTGCCGCGGCTCCACAGCAGCTAGCCATGCATCCACAGTAATCGGCGCGCAGAGGCAGACGGCGGGCGGCGGCGGCGGCACGGTGTATGAGGAGGAGGTTGAAGACGACGATGACGATGGCGGCGACGGGCGGCTGAGACAGAGGCGGAGACGGCGTGGGCGGCCAGCGGCGGAGGCGGAGCTCCTCGGGTGTCGCGGCGGCGACAGCGTGGCAACAGGGAGCATGTAGAGCCGGCGGTGGCGCGCGGGAGGGCGGCGGCACGGCAGTAGGGGGGCACGGGCGTCGCCCCTTGCTAATGCGGTGGTTGGCGGCCGCCCAAGCGCCGCAACCGAGGTGGACAAAGAGGTTGAAGACGACGACGACGAGCTCGGGCACGGCCCGTGCGAGCTCCGTCTCCCGCTGCCAGCCGCCCGCTCCGCCTTCGTCTCAGCCTCCCGCCGCCTGAGGAGCTCCGCCTCTGCCTCCCGAGGAGCTTCGCTGGCGCGAGGGGATGAGGCTGGCTGGTGCGAGGGGATAGAGAATTAGAGAGGAGATATAGAGACTGACATGTGGGTCCATTATTTTTTTTAATTTTTTTTGCCACGCTGGAATGCCACGTCAGCAAGTCTATCCCAAAACCACCTAAAACAGTGCTCAGGGGGGGGGTAATTTGTCCGGTTTCAATAGTTGAGGGTGTAGAATGTCTGGTTTTCGAGTTCGGGGGTGTAATTCGGTCGACCTCGATAGTTTAGGGGGTAAAATGTACTTTTCTCTATAAATTATAATACGGGCTTGTTCACCATGTTGGTCAAATTAATCATATCAAATTTTAGTAATACCAAATTTTAACATGTTTTATCATTACCAAATTTTGACATCATTAGCTTTGATTGGTTTGATGCATTTACCAAATCTTGGTTAAGTTTTAAGAGAGGAAGCTTAACTGCTAAAACCTAATAAGGTTGTAATGGTTAAAGTGTGTTTCTATCAAAAATTTAGGAAGGTTGAAAGTTGCAACAACTAAATATGCCATATGTTGTCTAATATGGTAGCTAACATGGAAGTATTAGGTTCCTAACAAAATTGCAACCTTACGGTTTATTACTCCTAAGTCGTTTTAGCTTTTTAGTTAACTTTTTCTAAGTCTGATCAAATTTAGAAAACATATAGTAGCATTTTCAATATAAAATAAACATATTATAAAAATATATTAAATGTTAGTTTTAATAAAAGTAATTTAATGTTGTAGATGCTGCTATTTTTTATAAACTTGATCAAATTATAATAGTTTGACTAGAAAAAAAATAAAAACAACTAAATAATAAGTGGAGAGAGATAATAGGTAATGCATTTTTTTACATTATATAGGACAACGATATATATCTCGTTTGCCAATATGTATGGCCGTGATTTTTTCGGATAAACAAAAAATGGGAGCAATGGACAAAAACCAAGACATATATATCTAGCAGCAATAAAATCCTTCTAGAAGGCAATGGACAATCGTGCACACGCGTAGCATATCCGCGTAAATCTCTCCACATGATACTTTGCTAACTAGCCACACCCTACGGATCACTACTTCTTCCATTTTCTCATACTTTGCTCCCTTTTTTTTTACTTTTTAAATTAATTAAATTTGATTTTATTTTATTTTCCAGATTTTTAAATTTAATCAGCCAAAGCGAGCAGCAAACTCACCCAGGGTGAGTAGCAAGAGAGCCCCCACCCCCCCCCCCCCCGGGACCCCAACACGCAAGCACTGGCGTAATCGGCGCCACGTGGCGGGCACGGTGGGCCCCACCACACCCCCACCCCACTGCCCCCTATAAACTTGAGAGACTCTTCTTCCTCCCTCCTTACGGCGACTCATCTGCTTCTTCTTCCGCTACGGTATGGCTCCCCACTCTCCATCTCCTTTCCCTTCTCTCTATCTCTTATATTGTGTGCTGTTTGGTTCATACGGAGTATGATTTGTTGTTGTTCTGCGGTCTCTCATGAGGCGCTGATAGGATTTTTTTTTTTTTGGCAAGGGGAATTAAAAGATTTTGAGTCTTTGGATTATGATTATCCCAGTTCATATAGCTACTAGTGGTAATTCATCTATACTAGTTTCCTACTTAGGAGTGTAGCTTTTGGTTCTGCATCTTGTGAAGGTGTCCTTCTCCCTGTTCCTTGTTGATCAGGCCGAGTTGGCCATGGTGTGATGGTGTAGTAGGATCTTTTCTTGGAGGTAGTAGTAATTTACCCTTTCCTTTTTTTTGTATGTGTGTGAATGATATTATATACTCCTGAAGTTCGAGAGTAGAAGTAGTTAAATTGACAAGTGGTCTGCGAAAATAACCTAGGGGAATATGAAATGGAATCATCACGGCACCAGTGCTAAAATTCTGTCTGAATTATCAAGGCATCTGAATATTTTTGCCTTAAAAATTGCAGTAGTTGTGCCCTTGTGGGTCCTGTGTTACACTGAAAGTTCTTGGTTTTAATACTATTAGAAGTACATTTGGTAAGTTCTTTCACACCCAGCTATAGGGAGGTCGAATAATTTTCATACAGCCATGGCTAGTAATTACTACTACAGTTGTTGGTTGCAGCAAGCCAGCTTTAATTCCTAATTTGGTCAATATCCTTTAGTAGCATGTAGCATTTGTTATGTTTGTAGCTAGGAAGATAGGATCGTGAAGTCTTTCTTTTTTTCTCCAGGAATTTATTTCGATTTGGATAATGAAGTCTTTAATGGCTTATGGGCCTCTACAACGTCGTAAAGAAGTAGAGACAGAAGGTTATGAATTCAGACCAAAATTCAAATTTAGAACTTTTTGGATGGTAACTGGATGTACAGGGCAAAATATATATATATTTTTGGTCTGGTATCTGGATTTCACTGGGTGCTGGTAATTCTAGACAAACCAGTATCTCGAACCCTGATCTTGACAGAGAGCCACATAGATAGTACAATAGTTGTATAAAGTGGTCTATCAAGTAACATCAGCACATGATGTTTGTGATCCAAAGTTGCTAGATATTTCATTAGTTTCTCTTACTCCCACTTGCTAATTTCTGCATGAATCAGTTCCTATTATACCGAAGAGTTCTTTTTAGTTGTCATTTAGTTCCTAATTAATTTGATTTTTACAAAATTTTGTAGCTTGTGGGCACGATGAGAAGGGCGACCATTCTTGTACTGCTCATTGCACTCTCATCTGTTATTGCTCCCCTTCCATTGGAAGCTCTCAATGTAAGAGGCCATCTACTGAAATCCAAGACATTTCTGTCTCCGGCATTCTTCCTGCACCCTGGATCAGTTTCAAACAAGTTCTACTATGATGTCCCCTTCCCTAGAGGCCACCTTGCTCTCAAGAGCTTTAATGCTGAAGTCGTAGACGAGAATGGCGTCCCTGTTCCGCTCCATGATACTTACCTGCATCACTGGGTTGTGGAACCATACTATGCTTTAAAGAACAGTGATAGCGCAGACGCGCAAAAGCTACCCAAGGGGATCATTGCAAGGAACTCTGGTGTGTGCAAGAAAACATTAGGCCAGTACTACGGCCTTGGTTCTGAGACTCGCCATACTGCCACATGGGTACCTGATCCTTACGGCATAGAGATTGGTAATCCGGAGAAGCCCCCTGAAGGATATGAGGAGAAATGGTTGATCAATGTGCATGCCATTGACACAAGGGGTGCGATCGACAAGCTAGGATGCACTGAGTGCAAGTGTGATCTTTACAACATGACGATCGACGAGTATGGGCGCAAACTCCCAAAGGACTACATTGGTGGTTTATATTGCTGCTATGATGAGACGCAGTGCAAGGTTAAGGAAGGTTTCAACGGTGAGCTACGGAAGCTGTTCTTGCGGTACACTGTGACGTGGCTTGACTGGAGTGATGCGGTTGTGCCAGTCAAGATTTACATATTTGATGTTACTGACACTTCTCCGCCTGATGAAAAATCCGGAACTGCCTGCAAGGTATGCAAATAAAAGTTTAATATGGAATCGATATTGTTTCAAATATTGAGAGCTTCTCTCATTGCTTGAAATTTGCATTGTCAAACATTCGGTAGATTAGATTGTTTATGATTTTAAATGTTGTTTGTTCAGGTTGAGTACCAAGTTGAGGAATGCAGTCCAGAAAACCGGGCCAAGAATGAGTGCATTGATGTTAAAGTAACCAAAGAAGTAATACCCTGTGGAGGCGATATCGTGTTTGGTGTCGCGCATCAGCATTCAGGTGGAATTGGTGCCTCTTTACACGGCCAGGTAATGGATAAACACAAATGTCTCAACCAATCTGCTTACGCATCACTCTACGTTTCCTATATGAAATTGTCGCAATCTGGACAGATTTTTATCTGAAATCTCTTTGATTCTCATCTCTGAATGAGAAATTGACATCATTTTCTACTTACTGCAGGATGGACGTCTGCTTTGTGCATCGATTCCGAGCTATGGCAAGGGGGAAGAGGCTGGCAATGAAGATAACTACATCGTCGGCATGTCAACATGCTACCCGAAGCCGGGATCAGTCAAGGTCAGTGATGGCGAGGTGCTGACCGTCGTCTCCAACTACAGCAGTGACCGCCAGCACACCGGCGTCATGGGCCTGCTCTACATCCTTGTTGCAGAGCAAGAACAGCCAGCTCCCAAGCCTGCTCTGTGCTTCAGCTTCCCGGTTCCATGTAAGTTGAACAAAATCATCAACATGGTTCATGCCCCATTTCTTGCAATCTTGATGCTGATTTTGCGCATTTGTAGGGTGCTTACCGACATGGCTGACGAGCAATCTCTGAATGTTCAAGTTGGACCTGAAGAAGATGATGCATAGATGTAAGCAAATAAGTTGCCTGGGTTTTTTTGTTGAACTATGGCAGACCATAGGAGTAGTTTGCTGTGTCATTTTGATGAACCATCAGTAGTTTCTGATGATCTGTGGCACTACGGCACTAATATATCAAACTGGGTCATATACAAGGGCATTGGCAGACATCTTTCTCCAAATAATAGTATTACTCTGAAGAAGCTAGTGAAAACTGGGAACCAGATGTACAATCTCTTGTACTGTTGTACTGTTATATACTGGTGTATACAGTATTTATGTATATGGTTTTTAGGTAATGGAATGAATAGTTATATACTGGCTTATGTATGCATGTAACATGATCTATATACTTGAGCTCTTGCAGACCAATGAAATTTAACATCAAAATCCACATACACACTATTAAAATGTACATTAGCCACCAAACTCGATCATTGGGTAGTATGATTCTGTAGCATTTTTTTATTTGAAATGATTCTGTAGCTTTCATAGTACGCCTCCTTAAAAATATAATAAAATAATAAAAAAAAAACTTTCAGATAGACATCATCGTACGTGTTGCAACCAGTTGTCGTCCTAGATTTCTTCTCATTCTTGTATGCCTTGTGTCATCCAGACAGTGACAGATTATGACCAGAACAATGCAGGAAAGGGACAACTAGGATGCTTTGTGCGTTGATCTAAGACGATTATTTAATTTAATTGTGTCAATTATCTGCTAACGAACTATTCCTAATGCCATCAACATCAAGTCCAAACAAGTTGATGGGAATATATATAGTGCTGGCACAGTATCAGCGTTCTTGCAAGACAAGGCAATGAAAAATACAAGGACGAATTAACAATGCTGCATAATTTTCTTGGTTTTGACTTAGCAAACAACCACAGCTTAATAGTCGTACAATCTGATTTGGAACGACCTGTAAAAGCTCATCCCATGAAAAAAAAATTACGTCCTGCTGCAATATGCAGATTGAATACTGCAAAGATGCTGACATGTAACAATAAAAGTAACACATAATGACAGAACCGAAAGAAACCAGCAAGAAAAATTCACAACTAAGCCGGCTTGACAAGAGCCAAATTTCATTTACAAAAGCTGTTAAACTTGCTACTACATTACATGACTGTAGTATCAACTCTTCAAAGAGAAAAAGCAGAAGTAAAGTGAGGCAGGTTAATTAGGGGGTCTCAGGGCAGCTCTTTTATATGTGACAGAAGACAAGAGCTGCTCACTGAGGAAATTTCCCCATGTCAGGAAACATAAACAGAGAAAATGGAGCTTCTGAACATCTAACTATTAGATCAGCTGACACCTAACAGATTAGCATTTCCGTCAGTAGGTTGTATTGGACAGGTGATGTGGTATAACTGAAACAACTAGCAGTCTGGCTGCTCCAATTTCACTGGTGTTTTTGTGGCGATATCTGCTGTTGTTGCTGCTGCTGATGCGCTATTTTGATCGCTGAGACTTCTGGCAACAACCAAATCACTGACAACATCAAAGTTCAGTCTTCCACTGACTTTCTTCCCACTGCACAAATTGAGAATAGTTTAGACAAAGTTTTCCTCTCACTAGTGAAATAAGGATAAAAAGACTTCTTTTCCAGCTTCTTTCTAGTTTTACCTGTTTAGGCGGTTGTTTATAACCTTAAGGTCCTTGGAGGGGCTCTGAAATGCATGAGTACTCTCCCCTACACAGGCGTAATAGCTCTTGGAGCTTGGGGAAAGCAAAGTATCCATCTGAAACATTCAGTTATTGCAATGTCACAACATTGATCAAGGACTACCATTATAGTTAAAATTCAGGTGGTCATTATAAATGCAACATTAAACTTCACAAGGGAGATCAGTTTATTTCTTGAGGCGTACCTTTGATGTGCGCAAGGGTGAAACATATACGTTATGAGCAGCAGAAACTTTCTTGGGAGACATGTCAGGAAGGTTTGGAAACCGAGATAGCCGAGGAGATTCTGGATATGGACCTGCTAATATGGCAAGCACTTTCAGAAAAGCCTTTAAATTCTAGCAGTACAATGATCAAACTTGTTTCAAGTACATTAGCATACCATCAGCAGCACATTTTTCCTCATTCTTCTTGTTTGGACTAGTACCAGACCCTAGCTCAACCAGCAAAGGTTTCACAGTAGGAATAAATACTTCGTTGTAGAAAGTGATAATGTCAACATGGTCCTCCCCTGTTTTCTGATGCCATAAGAGTAAACACACTTTCAGAATAATTGCGATTTAAACATAAAAAATTCTTGAAACACTGAAAAGAAAGTGCAGTTACCCCATTGCGGCTTCGTGATGCCCAATGAACATAAACACTACGGAAAACTTGTGGCTTGCACTGAGATTGTTTTCTGTAGCCGAAAATAATTTCCTTGAATGTCAGTGCCAATTGAGATATCTGCACACATGGACCAATAAACAAAACTGAGTGCTAACTGAGATATCTGGAAAAACAGCAATTGATAGATATACTAGCAATCATAACAAGCGAAATCTTTCTTTGTTGCAAGGGGAGTAATTTCTAGACAGACCTTAGCAACTCCATATATGCTGCATAGTATAATCTGATCGATGTGCCGATTGAAAAATAGAGCAGTTTGTTGGATAATGATTTGTTGCACAAGGGAGTACACTCGCTCCAAGACTTGCTGAGAAAGTTGCAGCCTTTCACAAAGACCTCTGATTCTAATAGCTGCAAGCTTTGCTATCTGCGCAGGACAAAAACATTGCAGTGCGATCAGTAAGAATTTTAGTGCATATTAAGGCACTTTAAGGTCAGACACTTATTTTTGAACATAAATTATGGTCAGACACTTATTTTTGAACAAAAAGTATGGTCAGACACTCACCTTGCTCAAAAATACACCTATTCCTGTCTCTGCGCATAATTCTCCCCCTGCTGCAGGATTAGGTCTTGTTGGACTGAAATCAAGAACATGCAAAAAAAAAAAAGACAATTGAGCAACCAGCTAATGACTTTAAAGAGGAATCAGGAAGGGATGTAAACCTTAAAAATGCTGATTGGAGAGGAGGCAACTTTGATTTGAGGGTATCCTTGACTGGTGATCTAAATGAATTGTTGTCCACCAGCACATTCCTCCTTTCAGTGCATGCTCTTTTGGGAGATCTAACTTCATCCTTGTCTACAAGAAATACCAAAATTTGTAAGTTCAACCATTCTTTCATATATTTTAAAGTCAAAGGCAATGAAACATGAGGTAGCATGCCAGTGGGCTACCTGGTGAATGTTCTTGCTTTTGAAAGGGAAGAGGTGGCAGCCCCTCGAGTGAAATGTTATGGTGCGCCGCAATGGCATCAAGTGATGGCATTGGTTCAGCCAATAAACCTAGCCTGTTTATTTCTGCAGATAGTGTTGGCCTGGCAACAATCAGAGAATTGTACATTGATGAGCCTTTCTCCCATGCCATGCTTTCCAGGAGCCGTTCCTCAAGTGAATTCAAATGACGTTTCAGCTCTCGTGGAAGTGTATCCTCATGCCTAACAAAACTCTCTATGACTTTGCTCAAGTCAAAAGCTGTTATGCCAGTTTTCTCTAACACAGCTGGGAACATCATTGTGACTGTCTTGTGAGTGGCCAGCACTAACTCAGCAGAACAAGCAATCATACACCGATGGAATCGCTCATTAGACAGAAGCGATGTAAGATTGTTCCCACTCAAGATCTGAGTCTCTGCTCTGCACATTGATTCCAGAACCCTGTAATATAGCTTAAGTGCTTCCATTTTTCTTTGCTCTGTCCAGATAGCATCAATCCTGTTTGTGCTTCGCACGCTGGTACATATACGTTCGCCGAAAGAACTGCTTGTGAATATGGCTCCAAGTATAATACCAGCTCTGCGTGTAATGTCATCTGTCACATCCTTATCACAAGCTGAGAAGAAGCGCAGTAACTCCCCGGAAGGTTTTGAAGGAAGGGGAGAGATTGTGCTCCGAAGCCACTTGGCTGTTGTCATGGCTGTGCTCACTGGGGTGATAGGAGCCATTTTTGAGCTGCAGTAGCCATTTCCAGTAGGGGATGCACAAAACCGTGGAGGAGACATCGGACTTGGACTTGTTATTGATTTTGCAGGTGAGGCCATAACATCGTACTTTCTCTGCAATACCCACAGGTAAAGTTAAAACATAAGATTTGGGGTTTTAAGTTGAATGAACATGTGTAGGCTTAACACTAATTACCTTTGTGCCTGGTAAATTGATGGCACCTCCTGACAGACTTCCACTGCCAAGCAAGCTGTCCTCATCGTTTGCGAACATGCGCTCATCTAATTCTCCCTTGGTGTTAATTGCATTCTCATATTCCTTTTCCAGCATTAGCAAACTTAATTTCAATGAGTCTTCCTCGAGCAAATTCTTAAAATATGTCAAGCCCTCTGCATCAAACAACAAGAAGCAAGGAAGTTGAGATGGATGGCAACAAGTTCCTGAAACACAAACCTCGACTATGGAAATAATTGTGTTTGAAGATCACATTCATACCTGGATCAATAAAAGACAACCTATCCTGCTGACATTCTGAAGCAGCTGGACATGGTTTCTTCTTCAGAATATCCACTATGAGAGTATTTGTCTTCTCGATTGCTTTACTCAACTCATCTTCTGATGTATGGTATTTTTCACATAGGGAAGCAATAAGATTTACTCCCTTGTCTGACTTCTTGGCTGATTCAGATCAAGAAACACTATCCATTAGTTTCGAATCATAACTGCCATAACATGTGAGTACAGAGAGCAAACACATTTGTAAAAAATAAGAGTTGATTGTCATTACCAAAACTAGAAGACTCTTTGATATTGAAATTCCTTAGCCGCACAGGAATGTGAACAATAAGTACGGCCTGCATGCGTATGGAATAAACAGCATTCATTGGTTACATTTTTATTAACATAATGCATCGATTACCTTGTTGCATGAAAAAAGATCATGGTAGAAATCCTTACCAACACAGAAACTAGTCCATTTGTGGATGTAACAAGATCCTTAAATCGGCTGAATGTTTGGATTCTTAACACCAAGAAAAGTAACCATCCAAAGCGATAATAGTCAGAGGCTTGTGCATTTGGTTCTGCAGAATTTTCTGGTGGCTTGGCATCATTTAATAGGAACAGCTCCTGGTAGGCACGCTTGTAGTACCTGAACAAAACAAGCATTGTTTTAATTTATCCAACACATGAGTCATAATGGTCACAGAAAGGAAACTAATGAAAAAGCAAATCCAGAACAGAGACAAGCACAAAAAGAAATGAACAAAGGTACATCAAACATAATTGTTATGAGGATAAATTAGGTTACAAGTAGCCAC